AATTAAACCGTCACGATTAATCGTCGTTTCAACGCGAAAGGAGAGGGCTCTCTCGGCTGAAATACAGAGTGGGATCATCCCCGTTTCCCGTCTCTCGCGAAACAAACAGAGTAACACACGCGTCCCTCTTCGACGAAACAAAAACACCGTCGATCTACAATTATTTTTCTTCCCGGAAAATGTAAAAACAAAAGAAATTTACAGCACAGAAGAAAGGTTTACGCGGAAACTGAGAAAAAGGCGTCGTGTTAGCGAAAAATACATCGTCGACGCGAATTTTCTCGGTTGTGATCCCTCTCCTCTCATGTATTTTCTATCTAAACACGATCATTTTGTCGCTGTGTGATCCATACGCCCGTCGAGCAGACTGCCGCTTGAAAACTGGCTGGAATACTGCGAAACATGCACGGCAACCTGCTCCAATAAAACAGCCGCGGGAGAAGCTTCGTCCGATCGGGTCGTAGCTCGATCGGAAATCGTCGAACCGACAGTCTCGCTGTTTCACGTCCCGAAAATATTCCTCGACGGACAAAACTAACTGGCCAGTTACGCTGTCCGTCGTGAAACAATATTTCAACGTTCTCGAGAACGAAAGCAACGAGAACACCAGTTCGAATTGTCCCGCGGTGTCGTGCCCACCCAGGGCCGTATCACGCGAGAGATCGTCATGACGCACGATTCAGCCGAGCAAAAAAATGGGATCGATTACTATAAACAGATCGAGCGCATGCGCGGCGTCAAAGTATCGGTAAAAAGAAAAAAATGAAAACATCAGTAAGCAAGAATCTCGAGTCGAACAATAATATATCCAGCTCTCTATCAGGTGGGCTAGCATTAGACCTACGTGACTTCTCCACTTACGCTACAAAGTGTGTGGATTCGGTTACGCGTATAGGTGTTTCCTGTGGTCTTATTGCATCAAACGCAGGACCGTACTCCTTTCAAAATGCTGATGGCATGTTACATTCGTTGCACATGAACAGCTGTGCCCTGAGCTTCAGTACATCGTCATTCCTTACTACGAACGATACAACCTCGACGACGAATGACTAATATCCCGACGACGAATCATCGAGGATCACAGGCTTGCAAGACTTTTCGTATGGGCGTCGACTGTTCTGGCGGATTTTCGGGCTTAAATCGCGATTTTTCGGAAGTTCAGAGCCTCTTTTAAAACTAAAAATTATCTCACAGCGCAAACAATAATACGACTAACAATTTTCTTTTCCCTTTTTTTCATTCGTACTATAATAATTACACTTCTACGCGTTTGCAAGTCTTTTCTTTTCTGTGGTGTACTATGAACTTCGACAGTCGAGCTCCGGGTTCTTCGTTCTTCGTGTCCCCGTTATTATCATGGGTGTATTTCCCGCAAAGGACAGTTGCCCGGTCAGTTCACGAGGGATCCAAAGTTTAAAATCAACGAATAATCTATATGCGTGGTCCGTGTACGAGAAAAATAAAAAGTGTCCCAGAGACGGTAATAACAACGGGTTCGTAAAATGCGCGTAGCAACTGTCGATTTCCAACGATCAACCCTTGAATCGATACACGTGTTCGAAGACACGATTTCGATCGTGCGCCCGAAAATTCTGGACCGGCCGGTGAGGGGCTTTCCACAATTTTCGGGAATAGAGGACACAAAGACGGATACGAAACTTGCGAAAGTCAGCTTCGTTAGAGAAAACAAACTAATTTTCTCGGGCGTGAGATCCTCGAGAATTCGTGGTTTTCAGCCGTTCGACACCGAGGAACATAAAAGAACACGCCAGCTAGCCTCGTCGCGTACCAAACAAAAATAACGACGCGTCGTTGTCGTCGTGTGACAGAGAGACAGAAGAAAAAGAACTAGTTTATAGGTAATCTGCATCGAAGGATAATGCATCAAAAATCGTAACACTGTTCCGGCCCCCGTGGCAGTGAGGCATTTTAAATAATGGATAAAAATTAAAAAAAAAAAATCATAATAATACAATAATAATACATACATACAATAATGTTAATAATAATAATAATAATAATAATGATAATAATAATAATAAAAAATAATATTGTAATAATAAACATGCATGAGGTCGCGTCATAGGAGCCCCGGTCAGGCTCGTGTTATCCGTCGACTCATCCAACAAAATATATTAATACTATACATTCGAAAATTCAGAAAGAACACTAGGCGCAAAAACGTTTCTTTACTTGGTCATACTAAAGGAAAGAGAACGGTCGTGGTGCTTTTTCTTTGTTTTCTTGGAGCATGGGAGGTGGGATACTGACGTTAGGCGATGGGGATGATGACGGTTCTATGTGTGTGTGTGTGGTCATGGTTACACAGGTGGGCGCGTCCGGTCACTGGATCAGGATCCTCCACAGATCCCGATTGTAACAGAGGGTGGAGGAGGGAAGAGAGCAAACGGATAGAGCAGTGATTCCCTACGTCGTTACTAAGAAAAAAAAGAAGAAAAAAACTGAGAAAAAACTCACTACGACTACTCACTACTTTAACACCACTACGATTAAAGTAAAGTCAGATCAAAAGAAGAATGTGGAAGGAGAACACGTCCGAGATTCGCCTCTTCTTCAGCGATCGTGCTACCGTGGTTGTATGCTCGGGAACGTGTTGGCCCTGTCACAATGTGGATCGTGCTTCGATCGATGCCCATTCCCCTCCCCGGAAATCGGTTCGCCTCGATCGAACATTTCCGGGAAGGTTCGCCTCCACGAGGATCGGGTCGAGGAGGACGAGAAAGAAAGCGCCTACGGTTCCACTGTTCTTCCCCTCCCCCTTTCCAGGTAAACGAGAAAGAGAAAAAAGCGTCCCTCACGCATTCTTCTTTCGTGGTTTCAGCCCCCACCCCCCTCATACTTTCACTTTCCTTCACGACAGATCGCCCCCGTGCTGCCGATCGTCAACGAAATACGAAACAAAGGAACGGACACTAGAAGGTCACAAAACTACGAAGTTTCACGCGCGTGCTCGAGGCTCGATAGTGAGCGAACTAAAAGGGGGGCGGGGGGTTTGCGAACATCCTGGAAAAAGGACACAAACCGGTGCACTATGAACAAGGATACGGTGAAAATAGGGGAAACAAAAAATAAAACAAGAGAACAGACGAAACAGAAAAGTAAGAGGGACAAAAAAGGATCAAGACGGTGTTGAACCATCGTCACTCCGATCGTAAGTTTAAATGCATCTGAACGCGAATATCCGTCGGAGTTGTCACTAAAGAAAAGAAAAAGGTAAACTCGTATGTGTGTGTGTACGTATAAATATAAAAGAACATCTGCATAACCACCTAAAGGAAAAGAAAAACTACGCGCAAGGATAGAGGAAGGGGTTCAGGTGGGAAGGACATCGATGCAACGGTTCGATCTGTCCCTTCTCTTAATCGCGAGAGAACATTCTCGAATTATTGGAGCTAAAGGGTGTGTAGTTTGTGTCGGGCGTTTCCAACAGATCACGCGGCGATCGATATTCTCGACGATCGGATTCTGGTACCCGATCCAAGGTGTTCAAAGACGTCGATCGAGGTCACCCTGGGCGCCATCTTTCTACGCCACACGCGCGAGAGGAAGAGAGAGAACGACGACGAAAACAAAAGCTTGCTCTGGCGTTGCTAAACATATCCGATACACGATTTTTCTCGGCAATTCCTCTTTTCGCTTTTTTCGGGGTCGTGGAGTAGTTTAGGGCCGCCTTCCCCCCCCCCCCACGACACGCCGGTTGGTCTGTCGAGCGTGCTCGAGGTCCGGTCCCAAATCCGGTAGAATCGTGTTTAAGGGTACGGACGGACACATGTTCGTTCGTTTTGCACAACCCTTTCTGACGAAAATATGCGTGTAGAAAACGTGATACATTCTCGAGATACTTGGAAAAAGAAACGTCCCTCGCGGCTTTCGATCGAGAGGATGACGAGAAGGAGAAACATAGGGGATAGGAAGAAGGATATGTGGGGGTAAGAATGGGTTAGATCGGTATGGAAGAAGGAAAAAAAAAAAGTGATCGGGTGAACAGGATTAAGGGGGATAGGTTTAGGGTATAAGGAAAAGGGGGTTTACAGTGACTAGCGGCGGCGAGCTCTACAACTAAACAACAACAACAGTATTTTCAGTTATAACAACATTAACAAGTAAGTTTGTCCGCGTATACGCGCTTACACGTCCTCGTGTGTCTTTCCATGGTTCCGCGCGTGCGCATTTCGGGTACACAACACCACACGCGTTTCCGACGCGCGCACGCGGTATATATAAAAAAAAAAAAAAAAAAAAGAAAAAGAAACGGGCGTGCTCGCGAAGTCGCCCGGCGGCTTTTTTCCGTTTTTTGTTTTCAAATTCATTCCATTCATTCCTTTTTGCGTTTTCTCTCAATTTTTCGTCACTAGCATTGTTCTCGCACACGCGTGCGCGCTCGCGCGTACGACGCCTCGGAGAGGATCCATCGGGGTACGCGGTTTTGCAAGTCACGCGAGCGTATTTTTATTTTTTATTTTTTTTTTACCGCTTATCGGGTTTTCCGTCCCCTTTCATTGTCGATCGAGAAAAAAAAAACAAATCTTCTTTTCGGTTCTCTAAACATATGTATATATATGCGTGTCCCCTTGAGAGACAATTGTCCAAGGTCCCATTTTTCTTTCTTTCTGGAACGCGCGGCGACTTTCGAATGATTCTCCCTCCGCGTCCACAGAAGGCAGCGCGCGTTTACTCGCCAAGAATCGCGTGCGTGTCCCTCCCCTGTGGGTTAAGGCCTGTCACCTTGAATTTTCGACAACTCGATTAGCCAGTTACTCGCTCGCGTGCGCTTGCTTGGTAGTTCGTCGATTTTTCGTTCTCGTGAACGGGAGTGTGTGTGTGTGTGTGTGTGGTGGTGATGAGAGGGTAGGTGTCTCGAGCGAAGGGGATTTGGGGGATAGGCGAAGTGAGCACGAGCAAGTTTTGGGTAGTAATATAGGTGAGGTGGGGGGCGAATAAGAAGATAGGCAAGTGTAAGTAAAAAAAAAAAAAAAAAAAAAAAAATTGAAAAAAAAAACACTTATTAGATCGATGAGATCCCGGCCGTGCGTGGCCGTCGTAAAACAATCCCGGCAAAAAACGAGCAACAACGACAACGATGAGAACGCGACGACCACAATTCTGGGTCGACGATCATTGCCGGCGTCGCTGTGTGTCGTTGGTCTACATGCCGATCGGTGGTACTTGTACGTAACGATAAATGTAGAGCCGGTAATCCTTGCTGGCCAACACGCCCGAACCGTCGTCCATCAACGCGACGTCGAAGCACTGCGCGTGCTTCACCTTGCTCTCCAACGCCGATACCAGTTGTCCGTCCTGCGTGAATATCGTCAGATTAAAGTTATTGTGATTGTCGGCGATCAGTATCTCGCCGATCGCGTTGATCCCGACACCGATCGGGTAGTTCGTGATCCCCTCTCCGCCGATCTGCCGTAGATATGCGCCGTCGTAATTGAACACCTTCACGCAATGGGCACGATTGTCGCTGATGAAGATCTCCTGTTTGTCGTTCACGACCACACCGTTCGGAAACTCGAGATGCTTCGAGCAACCGAACTTCTGTAGGACGTTGCCAGCTTGGTCGAAGATGATCACGCGCATCACTTTGCACTCGACCACGACGATACGGCCTTTCGAGTCTACGGTGACGCCGCGGGGATGTTGGAGGATGTTTGCCCCGAATTTACGCACGAACTGACCGTACTGATTGTAGATCTGTATCTGATGGGTGGGGGACCGTTCGGTGACGATTATATCGCCTGATGTTTTCACCACGGCGACACGGTTCGGATAGAGAAGCTGACCGTCGCGTTTGCCGCACTCGCCGAACTGGAACTTAAACCTTCCCTCCTTGTCGAAGATCTGGATACGATGATTGTTTGTATCTGCGACGATAATATCGTTCTGCGCGTTCACCGCGACACCGGACGGCTCGGTGAACTGACCCTCCATGACGCCGAATTCACCGAATTTACAGTGGTAGATCATTTTTTGTCGTTTGATCTGTGATTTCGGCGGGAATATCGCGGCAGCGGACATCAGCTTGGATGTTAAGTCGAGCACAGAGTCGCCGGAACCGGCGTTAGCCACGGCGGCGACGGACGTCGGCATCGAGAAATGATCGTTCGTGGTGACCACGGGGTAAGCGTCGCTGCCACCGTTGCTCCATTTCTCGTAAGGATTCGCGTTGATGCCGTTCAAGTTTAGATCACTGATCGCCGTCGAGAACGGGCCCAGGCTGTTCGCGGAGCTGAAACGTTTCGTGATCACGCTGCTGTTTGTATCGAACGACGACGGTGATGTGGACGAGGCGCAGGTTGAGGTAGAAGGTATCAGGCCGTTGCTATACGGTCGGTCCAAAAGCAGACCGCCCAGGGATCCAGCGCTGTTAGGTCCATTGCTGGAGTTGCTTCCGTTATTACCGTTGCTGGAGAGCGCTGTCGGTCGTGCGATAGGCGGTTGCTTGCCGATCGGTCCGGCGTTGCTCTCGTTGTTGCTTCGTACATAACCGAATGTGTTTCGTACGCCCACTTGGATGGCTTGATAGTTGCTGACAAACTCTAGATCGACGGTTTGGCTACTGATATCCGGCGTGTAGTTCAATAGTAACTGGAGCTTCGAGTCGAGAAGCTTCTTGACCATCAGTACCTCGGTGATGGTGGTGTATTTGGTCAATCGTTCGACGCACTCGCACGTCTGGAGTATCTTATCGGCCATCTCGTTCGCTTTTTGCGTCAGCACCCCAAGAGATATCTGTTTGGTGGAGAACACAGATTCGAGCTCCTTCAATAGTTCTTGCTTCCGTTCCTCGAGCATCGATCGGTAGAACTGAAACGTGTCGTTGATCTCGTTCTGGGCTTTGTGATACTGCACCTGTAACCGGGCAGCCCCGTGATCCGCTGCCTTCACAGCGGCTCGGACGTCCGCCGCTTTGGCTCTGCACTCCTGAACCACTCTTGCCATCGCCTCGAGCTGTTGCGTGCCGACCTCGGAAATGTGCGCGCAATCGTGTAACGGTGCCGGATGATCGGTGATCGTGCACTCTTTGCACACCAAACCGGTGCAGGTGCGACAAAAATATTTGAGCAGCTCCTGTTTGTGTCGTGGACAATACGGTACTTTCTCCCCGTTTCCGTTACCACCCCCGTTGATCATCAGATTATTCTTCGGTATCTCAGTGCTCGCTGTACTGGTCACTGTTTCCAGCTTCGAGTCCCCCAGATTGAGCACTCGATGACCCTCGAAGCAGTGCATGAACTGATGAGCCATCACGCAATTAGGACAAAGGAAGTTTGCGCAGTCGAAACAACGTGCAACAGCGTCGGATTCGATGGATTTACAGCCGGTGCAGCGAACGCCGCCGGCGCCTCCTAAACGGCACCGCGGGCAGGGCGCCTCCCCAGGTTTCTGTGAGTCGAGGCAGAGATCGCAGCTGTCGACGTCGCAGATCGCCGAGTCGCTTGCAGGCGGAGAACTGCCGCTCACTGTAAGCGGAGACAGCGAGGCCAGGGACCCGATGGAATTCGCGCGCGATTCCAGCGAGAGTGTCGGCGAGGCCATCTTCAGTCAACCGGCATCCCTGTTAACAAAAAACAGATGGGCACGTTTTAAGGACTGTTCCTTCTCCATTATTGTATTTATTTTTTGTTTATGCTATTTTATTTTTTCAAATTTAATTATCTAATCAAGGGTTTGCGAGAAAGAATACCACCACGCAATTACGTTCTTTTTTTTTTTTTTTTTTTTTTGCACTACTCGTCGTGTTAGACGTTCATTGAACTTTAGCTAATTTTGGTGACGGATTTACATCGAGGAAGGTCAATGAGCTTGTAAATGAAAAGCTAAACGATATAGATTTACTGTACTTTAAATCTCTTAATGTGGTTGGGAAATTAAATTTGGATGTACTTGATTATTGTCGCAAACCTTTGCAATTTTACGTATGACGATGTACACTATTGGTAAAAAGCAGAGTTGAGCAGAATTTTATTCGAATAATAAGTGGTGAAAAACAGCAGTATCAGAGTGATCCTGAGTTTTGAATAGTTAATGAGATTAAATAATTGTTTGCCAAGTGTTCGCTTGTTCAAGAACAAGTATTATTTTATTATTAAAATTGGAATTTCTACGTTTAATCAATTAAAAGTAACGAAGTACTTGGTTTTTAAACTTTTATTGGTAACTCAACACTCTTGATTTAAACAATGAATTTGCCCATCTCTGGCCAGTAGTATGAGGCCAGGCTTTAATGGAATTGGTGGTCACATAATTTATTTGCATTCTGTTATAAATTGGTTTCAATAAATCATTGTATGATACATGCCACCGTCGGTAACTGTAAAACCTGTACTCATATTCTGTGTGCCAATGAATAATTTATTATTATCTTAATATGGTAATAATGCACTTTAAATTCAAAAGATTTTGTAAATAATTATCCAGGTGAATGTAGCGCAAGGTACCGAGGATTCGTAACAAATCTTGTTAAGGTATCATACTTTTTTCATATTCCCAAAACATATACATTGAATTCGTAAAACACTGAAGCACCTAGTGTTTACGAGTACTTTCGATAACGCTATAATAAACCACATTTTGGAAAGCTCTACTGCTTACTCTTCATCAATCGCTAACAAAAGACAATATCAGAAAGCAGTATTCAGAGATAATTCTGTTTGCCATAAAAACCAGTTCAGCACATATCGTTGCAGTGTTCCTGAGAACAGAAGTAGAGCACCTATCAGATAGCTTCAACCAAACTTATTTATCCTCTGAAGTGTTAACTAATCAGCAGTTTGACGTTTCTCAGTCAAAAGTAACGGTACCACTTCTGTACGTGTAGAATCGGCGCTAACAAGAATAGAGATCGTGAAAGAACGAGAACTAATTTCCACGCGGAAACGTCCCCTCCCAACCCCTAACCCCTGCCACCAACGATCCCACTAATTGTTCGAGCAACGAGCGCGTTGATCCGCTCTCAATGGACGGAGAACCATCAGCAGGACATCAACGGGTATACACACGTTGACGATCGGTCTGGCTGGTTGCCATTCGTTGACACTTCACCCACGCGCGTCGTGGTGACCCACGGACAGAGGCAAACAGGAAGTTGTGTTCGCATCCCGACGTTGTCGTCTGACCGTCTTCACGAGGCTACTCCCACGCCAGCCATCCATCCTTCTTTCTCTTTCCAACTACTCCGCACTCGTTCTCGACTGGAGAAGGGCACGACTGACGATGACAGGACGTCGTCGCGGTCCCTCTCTAATTAGATCGGGCCCCGACCGAGAAGCACGGCCGTGTTTCACCTGAGTGCCCCGTGGGTAGATAAAACACAGATAGAAAAGAAGCAAAACGGGTAACAGAAAACGGGCGAAACTGAAAGCGAAGAAATAAAGAATAAGGGATCGAGGGAGAGGTGGGTAGTCTGTAAGTCCAAGGTCACGAACGCGAAGGTTATCGTACCTCTACACATTACTCTTGGCACACCGGTAAATTCATGGTGTTCCACGCGACGACACGATTCGCTTTTCCAGGGACGGGAACGAGGACGCAACGATCGAAGAGAAAGAGACGAACGCGGATACCGCACCAGGTGGAGAACCCGGGAACAGGAGGGAGGAGAAAGACGCGAAGGCGGGGGAGGAGTAGTCTGCTCGAGTGGAAGAAGGAGAAAAGGATGAAGATAAAAAGAGAATAATCGAACAGGTAGAACAAAGAGCGTCTCGCCGCTCCAGGAAATACTTCTGATGTCGGGGTTAGCTACTCTTCTCCGCGGTGGTACGCGGTGCCTCCGTGCAGGAATTTCGATCGAGTCCCAAGATAAAAGGTGAATGCTCCTGAGGGAAGTACTCGCGCGGGCTCGAGGTCGCCGGAAAGCTACATTTAGCATAGCGAATGTTGAAGAACGCCGGTGCACCTCAGCCACAACGGAAAGCCCCCACCAACGGGTCCACGATATATAACTGGGCATTATTTTCGTGCTACAACTGGGAATGCATGAGGAACGTCGATTATACGAACCAAGAACGCGATGTTCCGGTCGTAAACAAATTTTTTTTTTACACATTCGCTATCGGCATGTTGTTTCGAGAAGTTTTGTCACATTCCAGGTTAGGCTTTGTAACATGCTATTCAGTGGAATGTTGTTACATTCTGATGGATATTAACACATTGTCTGTTATTTAATAGATTTAGTAGATCCAATAGCCAAAGAACTATTGGTAAATAGTTCCGTCATAAGAGCAAATTATATTCATGAAAAATAGTAAGAACTGTAATAGAAAAATGAAACAATTTCTTCTGCAACCCTAATGTAAGGGTGAAATCATATGATTCTTATCTATAATCAATGAAATTTAGAAATCTATTAATAGGCTACTAAGAAGGACGTATAATAGAGATAATGAATAATATGAAATATAGGTGAATAAGGCAAAAAGCATTCTGCTTTTGAGATATCGAACGTGTTAATTGGACGATGATGTTTCGACGATGTTTAGATTCGTATATAGTACCAATTATGTCTCAATATTTTTCGTACTAGATAATTTTAAACGAACATTTCGGAATAGCTTGGACTGTTCTTTAGTAAAGTGTAGAGGAAATGGTCTAAATGTGGATTAGCACTTTTACTTCAATAGTTATTGCCAACCCTGTTTAAGACTTTTAATATGTAACATGTATGGACTTACAATAAGCTTCTTTTATTTTTGAGTCGTAGTTTCACACTATTCTCGCTATGGTGAAGCGCCTAACATGATCCTATACTTTCAACTAGCCTGTATTTGGACCACCTCCTCTATTCTTCTTCCTTACCGATTGTTACATTTTTGGGAATACTTTCTTTGACGAATAGAAATTTATCTGGAAAGTACTGACTGAAGGTGCCTACGCTACGAATCAACGACCCAGTCATAAATCTGTACATAAACTCCAACATTAATGACCATTTGTCCGACCTCGGAATCATCGTCAGAAGTTCCGTTTGTTTCGCTAAAATCGATATAAATTTTGTTGAAAACTTGAAAGAACTAAAACTTCCAGTGACGATAAATTGTGACACGATCATTTCGAACATAAAACTCGAACTGTAATGCCTATTTGTCCACCATCAGAACCATCGCTAGAAATTCCGATTCTTCGCTGGAATCGACTTAATTGCGGTTGAAAAGTTATTGAAAAAGAAAACGAAGACCGCCTTAAATGTGTAAGAATTGAGACGGGCGACGACGTGGTCGCTAGGGGGTAAGGAGAGAGCAAATGGCGAAGGGGAAAGCGTTCGAGGAGGGAGGAGCGAAGATAGAAGAGTGTGGCGGGTGCTGGGAGGCAGGCATGGTGCGTACACTCCGATCGATGAACGTCGTTCAGGGGTCACGCCGTATCCCCCTCTCGCCCCTCCACCAACTTCCAGGACCCTGAAGTGTATCAACTCTCGACTCCCCCGTCACGTTTCCCATCCCGCGGGCTGTCTGCTCCGGAACGGGGCGCACGCGCGTACCGTAAAAACCGTGCCTATAGCTCCTCGTCAGCCACGATCTACGACCTTGGACAAGAAAGGTCTCGAATCAGACTCCATAACTAAGGGCGAAGTTCTTCATACTCGTCGATGAGATATGTATATATATATTTGTTTTTTGTTTCTAGTATTTAACGTCGCATCAAATGCTTATTTACGTCATTAGCGACATAAGAGACAAGGTTCACAGTTTGTTGTATAGTTTAGTTTGTTTTAAATAATGTTGTAGTCTTGTTTCGCGATTGGCGGGACGAATGGCTTCTGCCAGGCCTGGTGTAGGGTATCTGATTGGAATGATACGATGCTCTGTTCCAGAAATTGTTATGGAAAATGGAAGGGACATGTTTGGACTAATAGTGAAATAAAGGGAACAAGATGGATCATTTTAAACAGTGGGACAGTTAGAATCATTTTGTGTGGGTGGAATATTAATGTAAAAATTAATTCTTCTTTTTCTTAGAAGAGAATGGGATAAGGTAGCAAGAGAGTGTTTGTTTAATCTGGAGCTCGAGAATTATGCTGTTTTATTTTTGATGAAAGTGGTTGATACTTTTTCTAGAAATGTTGAGAAAAAAGTAGGAGTATCCAAATGTTGTTCCTTTTGTGCAGCGGCAAGAAAGTAGTAATATAACTGAAAAATATTATCAGTCGTTTACTACTATAATAGTTTTACTAACTAAAAGAAGTTTCTATAAAATGTTTCACGAAGAAATTGATTTGATCATCATTGATTAAACGATTGAAATTACAGACCACCCCAAAAATGTAAATGTTACTTTCATACTGCCGGACAAGTTATGAAACATCACAAATGCCTAAGATCCAATAAATTATAAATACAATTAACAGCGACAAATTTTGTTCACATTAGTATACCTATGATAACTTCACACAGATTCCGTAAAATGTATGTTCGGATCGAATTGACCTGAACCACAGTGCACGAGGGTTAAACACTCCAAACTTCGTAGGTACTTAACCCCTTGCCTTATAACATCGAATCAGACACGTGATAATGATTTTAAACTGAATTGAGTAAACATGTATATTATTAGTTTTTT